ATCTAAAAATAGATAAATTTTATTATAATGATACTGATACCTAAATCTATTTATAGTAACATTATAATGACGATATATCTATTCTATCTTAAAGGTACTGGATCTTATAAATGAAGAGTACTTGACTATACAGCGAATACCTTCCTTGCAGCCGCTGGCCTGTCAATGCTATTCTCCTCTCTTCTTTGGCTCAGCTGCTCAGTTCTACCACCGCTCCTGTATTCTTGACTACACTGTTAAATTATCTAGTGCTTTGTGGGCGGGGCTCATACCAATTAATACCTCGGAGGTTAACGAGTTGGCGACGGTTTCTTGTCCTTCATCTAGTCCAGACTCTTTACTGATCGAGGATTCTTTGACGTCACTAATAAACTCGGAGAGAGAGAAACAATTATTAATCCTCGGGCAGTCGGAGGACCCAAATGCAAACCCAGTTGATGTCATACCGTACAATGGAGTGATAAGAGCTGGAGGGGGAGCCCCTGTACTCTGCTACTCTAATTACACTATCCAGGAGTTGGTCAACTTTAAATCCGATGGGGTTTTTAGCGTAGATTATTGTAGTTTGGGTTTTTGTAGAGGGAACTCAGAGTCGGACTGGTATTTGTCCGATGTTGATTATCCTTGTGTTGAGACGAGAGAAGGTGTCCTATGCGGTCATTGTAAATCAGGTTTATCTCAAACTGTTACTACTACGGTAAGAATTTGGAAGGCATCAAAATTTTGTCATTATGCATTTTAATTTTTGTTGCAATAAAGTTTCTTTATAATCAAGCGTTTTTAAATAGTTTTTTAATATTATCTGAGGTTTCACTCACTCTATTTTTCTTCTTTATTTTTACATAATTATTCATGTTCTTTTACATTGTTTTTTTGTAGGTGTGTAGGGATTGTTCCAGTCCCAGGTGGTATATACCGTTATTAACAACACTCATTGGTGGGTTCCTACTGGTGGCTCTAGTGACTGCTTTTAATATTGGGGTCTCACCTATTTTTGATGTCCTATTGTTCTTTGTACAGGTAAATGATAGGAGAATCAGCTCAAATTTACTACACAGCATAAGTACATCAATGTGTATATGAAAATGTAATAAAAATTTGGGGTGATTTTTGAGCCTTTTTTTAGGACAAAAACCATGGGCTATAGCCTTGGGTATTTTTCAGATTTTGGCTATTTTTTTAAAATGGCCGTAACTTGAAAAATTGAAGTCGGAATCAACTCAAACTTTCTACATAGCATAAGTACATCAATATGTATCAGAAAATATAATAAAAATTGGGGGTGATTTCGGAGCCATTTTTTGGAAAAAATTATGGGCTATAATACCTAAGGCCCATGGTTTTTGCTTTTTGACTTTTTATAAATGCTAAGTTATACATGCTTATGATATACCGTGCATATGCGTTAAGTAGAATCAATTACTGTTTAATGATGTTTCTCCATAGAGTGTTTATGTTGCTGTCAGTAATCAAACTGGCTATGAGAGCTTCCTCACTATTTCAGTCTTCAATCTTGACTTTACACTTGACCAATGCATCACTTCTAATCTAGGAGCTCTGACCAGACTCCTCTTACAATATGCAACACCGATCTACATCCTCCTTCTCCTACTGACCATAATCTCACTGACAAAGATCAAGAGAGTTGCTAAATATCTTGGTCAGCACTCCATCCTCCATGCACTCTGGCTCCTGATACTAATATCATACTTGAACATAGCTAAGACTACTTTTGAGATAGTCCATTGTCAGAATATTGGTCCTCTGGATGACAGGAGATATGTATTAGTATATGATGCTTCAATACAGTGCTGGTCTGGCGGTCATCTTGCTTGGGCTCTGATAGCTGTTCTCCTAGCTGCTTTCTTTATACTGCCATTTCCATTTTATGTGTGGCTGGCCACTCAATCTCATAAATTGAAGCCAGTCTCTGATGTATATACAAGCATATATAAAGATACTCATCGTAACTGGGTGGTCTGGAATCTCCTTTATAGGCTACTTATTGTCCTAGTTGGAGTTTTTGTTGTCAATTTCTTCTACAGACATTTCTCTCTGCTGTTGTCATTCGTCATAGTCCTTGGCATATTTGCATTATTCAGACCCTATCATTCTCCTATTGATAACCTTTATGGAGGCTTTGTTGCTATCTGTCTAGTTATATTTTCTATTGTCACTGACCCATTTTCATCTGAGTATCTCGATCCACACAGAATAGTCAGTTGGTTGATAATGTCAGTAGTATTGATCAGTGGTGTTTGTCTACTGATACTAGAAGGAGTTTTAAAATATTTGCGATACAAAGGAAAGTCGTATACTAAAGATGACGTGTTGAAGTCTTGCAAAGATCGTTTGCTGCTTGTAAAAGAGAAATTAAAGAAAAGAAGAAGTAGTTTATTGATAAATGCTTCAGTCAGTCCACCTGGTATAAGTTCAAAAGGTTACATGCCGTTTCGTGAGCCACTGATTGACAGTGAGCAGTATATACCATCAGAAAGTCAGAGGAATATTGAAAACTCGAGGAGCATTGAATTTGTTGAAAATGTTAAAGAGAAACATGTCATCACATCAAGTATAGTCTCCCTGACTAACTCACTAGTGTGACAAATAATAGTTTAGGTAACAATTTATAATAATTTTTTGTGAATTTGGTGTGTTTATTTCTTTTAATTTGCAATAATTATACATAATTTATTTGTCAGCATAAGCTGTGAACATTTCAAATTTCAGCCTGTCACATGCAGCATTTGTAATAATGTTTAGTGTTTAATGTTATTCATTGGTTGTTGTGATAAGTTTGTGTCACGTGATG